TAGAAATGACAATATAATTATTATATTATATTAAGATTCTTATTATTAAAATACTCATAAGATATTAAATATATCTAATATACTTTTTTCTAATTTTTTATTAGATTTTTTTCAATTTTTATCATGTAAAAGTCTATTATTTGAAATATCTGTAATAATGTTTATGAAATTTAAAATAAAAAAATCATAATTATTTTTAATAATAGTTAAAGGAGTTACTCTTATACATTCTGTCAGATCCTATAAATTTAAAATATTAATTGATTACTTTTTGCTAAAAGTAAATTATAGCAATATAAGATATTATTTGTTAAATTACTTATTATAAAAAAGTTATATACTTCTACTTTTAAAGTTTTCTATATTTTTTCTTTAAATATTTACAGAAATAGTAAATATATAAAGTTTTATCAATTTTAAAATTAATTTTAACATACATAAGTTCATTTTAATTTTATTCTTAGTGAGTGATTCTTTTTATTTTAATTTTTTGATACAAAAAGATTTATTTTATTTTCTTCAAATTAATTTTAAGAATTAGAAGAATTTTATAGAATTAAATTTAAATATTATATATATTTTTGATTTTTAAATATATTTTTTTTATTGATTGATTTGAATTTAAAATTTTATTCAAATTTAATATATATTATTATCTTAAAAAATATATTTATATTCCTTTTTTTTTAGAATAATAATAAATATACTTAATAAAAATAAAAAAAAAATTTTTAAATATAATATAAATATTAATTTTTTTTTATAGACTTAAAATTTAAAATTAATTATTTATGTTTTTTCATAATTAATATTTCATAAATTTAATGGTAGTATTAACTAAAAGTTTATTAAGGTTTGTTGATTATCTGAAATGTAAGTATAGGATATTTTTATTTTATTACAAACTATACATTTGTTATTTGTCTCATACATAATATGGCTAATCAGAAATTGGAATCCAATAAATATATTGAAGTGTACATTTTGTTTACATAATATTTTTTTAGTGATATATTTTATTAGGTTTGAGATTTATGAATTTAAAACATTTTAGATTTTTTAATGATTTCTGTTATCTAGTATTAATTGTAATTTTTGTATGATTTAAATATACTATTAAATATTATAAAATTTGAATTTCACAAATTATATATAAAAAGAAGATATCTGATAAAGGAATAAAGGAAAATGTTAATATGCTAATAAATTATTGATAATTATAATAAACAATGAGTATTTGTTATTTAATGCTTATATGAATTTTATATTAAAAATAAACTATATTAAATACTAGTAGTATTAACTTAAATAAATTATAATCTTATTATGATTTTAAATTTCTTTATTACTATTAGAAAAAAAAATATTTAATAAGTTGTTATTTTATAATTTTCAACATGTAATTGTTAATTATAACTTTTCTTATCTTAAGAAAACTAACGGATTTTGCTACAAGTAATAAACCTTTATCTATTATTTTATTTTTATAGGAGTATCTATTACAAGATCATTACTTTATAACCAATAGTATGTATATTAAGATAAAAATAAGATAAAATATAACAAATAATTATAAATGAACTAAGAAATGTAAACTAATTAAATTAATCATATAAATATATAAAATTTAAATTTAGAAGTTATAATTTTGATATAATTAATAGAATTGATTTTATTATTTAATACCAAGGTTGAAAAAATTTAATAATTAAAAAAATAAGATTAAATTAAAATTTATTCATATCCCGATATTATATGATTTTCTTTTATAATGTAAATCATCTTAAACTATAAATATGATATATCGAAGAACTCTCTATAATCAAGTTTTTACATTGCGACTACAGTACATCAAGAGTAAATTGAAGAAACCGAAAGGTCTAGAAAAGTCAATATGTTCTTATTCTTTATCAAATGATAAATTACTGACATGAGCTGATCGGTGATCAGTCACATATTCTAATTATTCTATATTTAAGTGATAATAAATATAAATTTTCAAATTAAGAATTAACTAGTAAAATTGATGATAATTCATTAAGTTGATCAGATTTAATAAAGTTGAAAGCTGAAGATGATGGAAGTTTTAAAATACATTGAGCTTAAAAAGTAAAGCAATTTTGGAAGAAATACATTTTTTTATTATAATAAGGGTAAATAAATAAAAAATCGGCATAAGTTTATAACAAGATTTGTGAGTATCTTCGTTATATGAAATATTATATGAAAATTTGAAGAAACCCAAATTGTACATCATGTATTCAGTCCATCGCTATCTCTCATAAAGCATTGTATTTGTTAATTAATAGTTCCTATAATGTCAACAGCAACAGAGAAACATTGTAATTACCGCCTCCCATTAGTTCTTATCAATGGTGGAGGCGGGGGCGGCGCACGTTGTGGAGTACCTTGTAGCGTCAAAGATGACAAATCCAGCGAAATCGCTACCGGTAATATAAATATAAATATTAATAATGTGTTCTTAAAATAAAAATTATATACTATTAATACATACAACTTCCACTTGAAGCTCCAGAAGGATATTCTCTAATTAATTTTATAAAAGGCCGCGGGGTTGGAAATTCAGACGAAGAATGAAATGTCCACCGTCCTTCTGTAGTTGGTGGTTCTTTTTGTGATGGTATAGCTAATCAATTTATTGAAGAGGAGAAAATATTAATGAAGAAAATATGAGAATATGACGGCAATTATTATCAAAATTACGTACATTTAACAAATCCAGGAGAACGAGCACGAGGTGGATGAGGTGGTTGAAGTGAAGGCGATTGTGATTGTTGCATGGTAGACACGGGTCGTGGTGGTGCCGATTTATTACTTGCAAGTGATGATGGTTTATTCGGTGTTGGTGGTGGTACTTTTTTTACAGGGGGTAATGGAGGCGTAGCACTTTTTGTGTTCCGTGAAGGTAAAGGCGGAAGCGAAGAAGTTGAATTGGGTGTTGGTGTACGATTTGGTAATTGTGGTGGTACCGCATTCATTTTTGCGCGTGTAGGCAATGGTGGTGTTCGATTTGGCAGAGAAGGTGATGTTGTTGTTTCTGAATTTATAGTTTTACCAATGCTTTTTTGTATCGTGTTTCTAAATGGAAGCTGGGCTTCACCTTTTGATTGCGGTACTGTAGGTACTGCGACAGATACTTGTTTTCCATCACTTGGGGCTCTTGGACGGCCACCGGGTAAAGGAGGTGGTGCTGCAAGATCTAGTAAAAATAAAAATGATATTAAAAATTTTTAAAAATTGAATATTTCATCTGGTTGCAACATACAGTATGAAATCGAAATCGAAATTGCATACTATTATTATCTCTTCCAGTATCAATGCCACCACGACTCTTCAATTTTGGCATACCACTCGCAAATAAACCACCTAGAACAGGAGGCGTTGCAACAGTTTTTCCGCCAGACCCTCCAGACGTACTTGACGAACGAGCTCGACCTTTATTTGATGAACTAACCGATACTTTCCCTATATAATTAATCAAAAATATAAATCGTTTTAATTTAAGCATAAAAAAAAAAATGAATAAAATTGAGATGCAAGTAATCATTCGTATTCTAACCAACTTTTCCAATAAATGTCATAAATAAATACTTGCATTTTCGAATTTGAACAATTTGTCAAAGTTTAATAAAGAGCTGAGTGACATCTTTATAATTGAATAAGGAAATCTTAAAATACTTAACCCTCTATAATAGGAGAAGATCGATCGTTTGTAATCGCTTTTTTCAACCTTTTTCCTTTTTGAATGTCGTCAAGCAAGGCATTTCTGCCTGCTGAAGGAGGTTTGGAAGAAGTTGCTGCTGATGGCGGTGGAGGGGGTGGTGGTGGTCCTGGCATTTTGGGTTGATTATTATTATTATTATTACTAAAATTACAATTGGAACATATTCTTTATATATTTTAAATTTGACTGCGCCTTTGTTGAGTAATGACACGCCAAGGTGTTTTGCCAAAATTTTAATACAAGCCCTATTGAAATCACTTTTATGTATTTTGCCTATCATTCCTAAATGGTCAACTATATCTTATCAAGTATTTCATTTTAGAATCTTGCTTTCAAAATCAAGTTTTTTATTTCTACATTACTAGGGAACGGTTTCGGAATTGTTAAGCCCGGAGCACAAGTGTAATTGAGCGAGGGGAAAGCGGACATCTTGAGTCAAACAGCATAGAATTATATAGTCCTTCGTTACGCTCCGGACTAATACGTATCTACTTTTTATATTTTGTTTGAAGTAAGAAAAATAATTGGAACTACTAAACTAAACGAAGAGATGAGAATAAAAATTTTTGCAATAAAAGCGAAAGAGTAGAATACAAAAAATATTAAAAAATAGAAGTTCAATAAGATTTTATTTATTAAAAATTATAAAATGAAATTTATTAATAAATTTTAAAAATTCAAAATTCATATAAACTTTATATTTATATAAAATATTTAAAAGATTTTAAAGGTATAAAATTAATTGATTTTAAAAAACAAATCATGTTAATATTAAAAGAAAATTATTATATTATTAAACTTATTAATACTATTCATTTATAAAAATATCTCTAGCATAAATTTATTCGCAAAATTTAAAAAAATAAAAAAATAATAATGTAAAAAATAGTTTTTAAAATAACTTTCAGTATGCTAACATCAAGATCGGGTTTAATAAAAAAGTAAACATATAAACCTGTTCAAGGCAAATCTAGAATTGTTTGCAAGTTATTATCAAAAACAGCCACTAAACTCAAAATATCACAAGATAACTTTACTTGCTCCTTCATAAGTAACTTGTTCTTTGCTTCAAGTAACTTAATCTCCATTTCAATATTATGTCTCTTAACTTGCAAATCCCATAAATGATTTATTTGATTCGAGCTTTTGTCATTCTTACTTTATAATCGTTCGCTTTTAGAATTATGTTAGCAAATCATTACGGTGTGCTCACCAACAAGTACGAAACCTTTCCCACTGCAAGTACGAAACCAGCATGGTAGTCGGTGACGATGCAAATAAATTGCATACTAACACACCGCAATTTATGGTGTGCTCGCCAACAAGTACGAAACCTTTCCCACTGCCAGTACGAAACCAGCATGGTAATTGGTGACGGTACAGGCCTCTCCTCAACAAGTACGAAACCTTTCCCATTACCAGTACGAAACCAGCATGGTAGTTGGTGACGGTACAGGCCTCTCCTCAACAAGTACGAAACCTTTCCCATTACCAGTACGAAACCAACAAGGTAGTCGATGACAGACCTACACACTGACACACCGTTTACCAAATAATGGATACTCTTACCTTGAAATCTTGTTTCCACTTTAGAACCTTCTTCCCAATACCAGACGACTCAGAATAATACTTGCTGATAATATTTAGGTCGTTATTGTATCAAAGATGCTCCGTTTCCTTAACTTCAAGGTTCCCTTTATTTAATCGAAACTTTAAATTTGTAGAGTGAGTGTGTTCGTACTTTCCCAAAAAGATACATATTTTTACAAACAGGTTGATGAAATATTTAAATATTAATATAATTTTTATAAAATTCAAGTTAAATGATGATGATATCTCTTAAACTCTTTATATGTACTCTAGGTTATGCGAAATTTTTTTTTTTGTTATCATGTGGGTCAGGTTAGTCAATTGACTTGATATCCAGTATAATAATTGGCTAATTAGAAAAATTTTAAAACCACCTTACTGTAAAATTTCAGTTATAAGTAAAATGCCTAATCAAAACCTTCCTGCAAATGTTGACGAACTTATCCAGTTCATTTCTGTGAACAGTGAATATGAAACAATAACTAAACATTTGGCCCCAATTTTAAAACAAATCCCGCAGCAATTCTATTTGCAGGGTACCAGTGACAATAGAGATCCATTGGATGTTTTGGATCCAAACTTTTGTAGCTTACCCTACACTTACTTTCTGTAAGTTTTTGTTTCAACAAATTCACGTTTAATCCTTCGGAAAGCTCACAAAACGCTTAATTTATGTATAACAGTGCCGCGCGTTGTCAAGCAGATAGACCAAATGTTGCGCGTTTAATTCAATACATTCTCCAGTTCCTGACAGTATTTGACGCGCGTCATATTCGATTGGTACCTGATAAGTGTAATTTTTGGGTTTTATTTTATCAAATTTTCAATATTTTTAAAATCTCGAAATAACTTTTGTTTCTCACTAGTTCTACAAGTTGCTCAAGGGCTTTGTAGATTAACTACTCTTTATGGAAATGTAAGAAAGTAATTTCAAAGTATCATTGAATATTTATAGTAAAATTTATTTTTAATTTGTAATATCTTATAGGGTGTCATAGCCATTAAACCACTTGCGAATGCACTTCAAAGATATGCGCCTACACCAAATCATCTCACGAATTTGCATCAAATGTTTATTAAGGTATTTCCGAATGATTTACATTTATTATCATCAAAGATAATTGCTAAAAATCTTTTGCGAAATCACGTGTTTCTTTATTAAACAGGAATGTTTGTTATCAAGATGTTATAAGCAGGCACTTCCAATATTGAAGAATGATATTACTGAAATAGATGTGCCGGTAAATAATTAAAAAGTTAAATAATATTTGTGATTCTCACATAAGTCTTTAAAGTTATTTAAACGTATTATTTTAGAGCACAGCAATCTTCTATACAGATCATTTGCTATATCATTATTATGGCGCGATGGTTTACATAGGATTAAAGAATTACGAACGTGCT